TGTGTGTGTGTGTGTGTGTGTGTGTGTGTGTGTGTCTGTGTACGTACCACATCTTCTTTACCCATTCATCTGTCAGTGGTTGCTTAGGTTGCTTCCATGCCTTGGCTATTGTAAATAGTGCTTAAAACTTCTATTTCTTGCTTAAGAAGAATATAGAGCATCATTTTAATAGATCTTTGAGCATATTCTATTAAATTGTTAAGTGGATTTAACCCCACTCAATGTATTTTGCAACATTATACTTTATTAAGTGTAGTTAATGTGATCTTCATATTAATGCAAAGAAAAATGAACTTGAAGTTTAATTTCATGACAAAGTAAATGAAAACTCCTTCATCAAAGTTAATTATTTTTATTGTGGTAAAAAAGACATAAAATAAAATTTACAATTTTAATCATTTTTAATTACATTCACATTGTTGTACAACGGTCACCCCAATTCTCAAGGTTCAGAAATTACGAGATAATATTGGAAGTTTTTTTCTGTTGCAACTGCAAGTTTAAAAAATATTTTTCTTTTATGGCAAAAGAAACCTTGGTAAAGGAAGCTTTAACCCAGGTTACAAGATCTTTTCTCTCATTACTATGATTTGATGATGCCAAAAGGAGAAACTATACAATTATAAACATTTTCATAGTATAAGCCCAGTCCTTGGGAAACCACAGGTTAATGAGTATCTTGTGCTCTCTTTCAAAAAGTATGAATATGAAATTTTCACTTAAATTCCCATTTGTAGTCTTGAGTTTGTTCTGCAGAAGTCTTCAACTGTGTGTAATGCTCTCTTTGCTTATTTGCTTTTCCTAGACGGATATTTCTCTATTCTCTGGAAGTATAACTCAGGTTGGAAGTCCTGTTGGCAGTGCAATGAACCTTATTCCTGAAGATGGCCTTCCTCCCATTCTCATCTCCACTGGTGTAAAAGGAGGTATGTGGACTTAAATGTTTAAACAGGGATGGTTATATATGCCAAATGTTGCCTTCTAATTAAGGGAAGGAGATAGAATTCAAGTGATAATCACCCTTCTCTTCTCCAACAAAGAAGGTGACTACTCAGTGCCATGAAAAGCATTGGTGCTGTTACTGATTGTTTTAGAGAAGATATTTATGTTTTTATATTATCATTTCCTATGTTGGAAGGATGTAATATTATTTTTAATTCCCACTGTGTATAAATGTAGCTTATTGGCAGTTCTTCATATTCCAAAGCACATAATACTCTGAAGAGTTGCTTATAGTTCTAGGATTAGCCCATATGATACAGTCAGTACATTAATTTAACTTCTTGTTTTGAAGTACAATGCACATTCAGAAATGTGTATATAATAAGTGGAGAGCTCTGAACTTAAGTAGCAGTCTTCTGTTAAAAAATATTTTTAGTGAGTCCTGGTAAGACGCAAAGTTACTAATCAGTCAAAAGAATGCTTACCTTGGGCTTCCCTGGTGGCGCAGTGGTTAAGAATCCACCTGCCAATGCAGAGGACACGGGTTCGAGCCCTGGTCCGGGAAGATCCCATATGCCGCAGAGCAACTAAGCCCATGCACCGCAACTACTGAGCCTGCGCTCTAGAGACCGCGAGCCACAGCTGCTGAAGCCCACGTGCCTAGAGCCCATGCTCTGCAACAAGAGAAGCCATCGCAATGAGAAGCCGGCGCACCACAACAAAGAGTAGCCCCCGCTCGCAGCAACTAGAGAAAGCCCGGGCGCAACAATGAAGACCCAATGCAGCAAAAAAGTAAATTAAAAAAAAAAAGAATGCTTATCTTTATGCAAAAGTTTCTTGTTGATAGATCCAGATCAGCATCCAGTCAGTACATTTTCAGGAGATGATTTATCAATAATCTCTCCTCAGTTTTGTCGAGATGGTTTATCAATAATCTCTCCTCAGTTTTGTCCTCGTCTTTTACCTGGTCTCCCTGCCTTCAGTCTTTCTCTCCTTTATTTACTCTTACATATTGGTGCCAGTTATCTTTTTTTTTGAAGTATAGTTGATTTACAATGTTGTGTTAATTTCTGGTGTACAGCAAAGTGATTCAGTTATACATGTATATATATCCTTTTTGATACTATTTTCCATCATGGTTTGTTCCAGGATATTGAACATGGTTCCCTGTGCTATACAATAGGACCTGTCGTTTATCCATTCTATATATAATATCAATAGTTTGCATCTGCTAGTCCCAAACTCCCAATCCAACCCTCCCCTGCACTCTCCTCCCCCCTGGCAACTACAAGTCTGTTTTCTATGTCTGTGAGTCTGTTTCTGTTTCATAGATAAGTTCATTTGTGTCATATTTTAGATTCCACGTATAAGTGATATCATACGGTATTTGTCTTTCTCTTTCTGACTTACTTGGCTTAGTATGATAATCTTTAGGTCCACCCATGTAGCTGCAAATAACATTATTCCATTCTTTTTTATGGCTTAGTAATATTCCATTGTGTGTGTGTGTGTGTGTGTGTGTGTGTGTGTGTGTGTGTGTGTATGTGTGTGTGTGTGTATACACACACACACACACACACACACACACACCACATCTTCTTTATCCATTTGTCTATCGATGGACACTTAGGTTGTTTCCATGTCTTGGCTATTGTAAATAGTGCTACTATGAACATAGGGGTGCATGTATCTTTTCAAATTATAGTTTTGCCCGGGTATATGCCCAGGAGTGGGATTGCTGGATCATATGGCAACTCTTTTTTTAGTTTTTTGAGGAACTTCCATACTGTTCTTCATAGTGGCTTCACCAGTTTACATTCCCACCAACAGTGTAGGAGGGTTCCCTTTTTTCCACACCCTCTCCAGCATTTGTTATTCATAGACTTTTAATGATGGCCATTCTGACTGGTGTGAGGTGGTACCTCATTGTGGTTTTGGTTTGCATTTCTCTAATAACTAGTGATGTTGAGCATCTTTTCATGTGCCTGTTGGCCATCTGTATGTCTTTGGAGAAATGTCTCCTTAGGTCTTCTGCCCATTTTTGATTAGGTTATTTTTTTGATATTAAGCTGTTATGAGCTGTTTGTATATTTTGGAAATTAAGCCCTTGTCGGTTGCATCATTTGCAAATATTTTCTCCCAGTCCGTAGGTTTTCTTTTTGTTTTGTTTATGGTTTCCTTTGCAGTGCAAAAGCTTATAAGTTTGATTAGGCCCAGTTATCTTTTTTTTTTTTTTTTTTTTTTTTTTTTGGGGTTTGGGGGCCTTTTCTTTTTTTTTCTCTCCCTTTGCGGAGCACAGGCTCCGGACGCGCAGGCTCAGCAGCCATGGCTCACGGGCCCAGCCGCTCCGCGGCATGTGGGTTCTTCCCGGGCCGGGGCACGAACCTGTGTCCCCTGTATCGGCAGGCGGACTCTCAGCCACTGCGCCACCAGGGAAGCCCCCAGTTATCTTTTTAAACGTAGATATTATCATAGATTGTTCTTGCTTAGAAAATTCAATGGGTTCCCAGTGCCTTCCGTATAAATTGCTTACCATGGCATACAGTGTTCCTTGTAACCTTATCTCAACTTATCTAATTTTATTTCCAGCCAACACCCCGGTACTTTACAGGCATGCTACAGGTTATTTACTGTTTTCTGAATATTCACATTTCATACTTCCATGCTTTTTCTTATGCTGTGGAATAGTGGGAAGAGAATGGATTTCAGAGCTGAACCAGCCTGAGTTTTAATCTGGTAACTGTCCATTCCAGCTGTATGATCCAGTGGGCAAGTCATTTATCCGCTCTGAATATTTTTCCTAGATTTTTTTTTAAAAATTAGGTAACTATAGCTAATTAAGAGTCATTATGAATAATAAATCAGATGTCATACCTGAAAGTACATAGCAAGAAAATTGGTACAAAGTAGGCATGTAATTAATATTTTTTTAATCTTTCTTTCCTCTGTCTAGAGTAGAATGCCCTTCTATATGCTAGACTCCTTGAATAACTCCTCAACCTTTCAAAATCCATATTAATGGAAAACTTCTCTGAATCCTACCTCGGCTGTCTTTGTAGTAGTGTTTTACATCCTCATTTCTGTTCAAATAGAAATTCTTATAGACTGTTACTATATTAACACATTTTTCATTATAATTTAGATATTTATAGGTCTGATTCTTTATTCTCTATAGACCATGAATTCCTTCAGTCTGAATTCATGTTTGTATCTTCTGCTCCTAGCATGGTACTGGGCCTATATTAGGCTCTCAGTAGTGTTGGCTGAATGATCATACTATCAAATGCAGCTTGTGCCTCAGATAGTTCAACAATGAACTTTCACATAAAGTTAAGCATTCTTTTGATTGTATAATGCCTTTGCTCCTTTACTAGGACCCTCTAAAAATATTCTTTTGTAAGTAAATTTGCTACTTAGGTTTCAAATTTGGGTTATTTTAATAAATCTTAAATTAATAAGAAATTAAATTGGCCTACTCTGCTGTTAAAATAAGATTTCAGGGTTCCATTTTCATTAAAAGTCACATCCATTAAATCTAATTGTCAAAACTTCTCCTACCAAGAAGCAGCAACTAGTTATCTATTGTATATTCACTTTCTTAAATCATATTACTATGTCTTAACCAGAATTTTGTTATTTTGTATTCCAGTGGAAAAACTTAATTAAAAAAAATTTTTGAAAGTCACTTAGTATTTCTTTTTTCAGTAAATATTTTCATTGATACATTTCCAAAATACATTTTGGTTTCTATTGGTCAGTGGGAAATGGTGTTATTTTGTACTGAACTCTTTCTTGACTTATACTTAGAGGAATTGTTTCATAAAACCAGTCGCTTATGATACTTTTTATTGTCTGGGTGCATTTTTTAAAGTTTGATTTTTTTTAATGGTAAAAAATCTCAACAGTACAAAAGCATATAGAGTAAAAAGTAGGATTCCCCTCTGCTTCAACCCCTAGACATCCTTTCTAGAGGTAACTAGTGTGTTATCACTTACTTGTATATCATGGATTATTTTAAATGTTGGTCTTAGAACATGTAATATGTGAAATTCTTATTATGATAGTTGGAGGATTTTTGTTAAATCAAAGGGTTGTTTTTAGACTGTGGCCTAAACCATTGCGTGGAGAAGTCTATAAATAGGATAACCATGTTATCATCCAAACTGGACTAGAGCACTTTTAAGAGTGAAAGGGGCACTATTAATATGCCACTCGGATAGCAGATATAAACCTGTGTTCACCCTGTGAAACCTGTGTACAAATCAATTGCTTATCTCTTTCCTGTGAATAATAAGGCCATTCCTCCAACAGATTTCTGTCTTGATTTGTCTCTTTAACCAATGGCTTACATTGTTTTCTCCCCTTACAGACTATGCTGTAGAAGAGAAACCATCACAGATTTCAGTAATGCAGCAATTGGAGGATGGTGGCCCTGACCCACTTGTATTTGTTTTAAATGCAAATTTGTTGTCAATGGTTAAAATTGTAAATTGTAAGTTGGAAATTTGTTTTTTTAAATTAAAATGAGATACTGAGTCATTAAATTCATTACACGCAAATATTTTTATGTAGAGCCACATCTTAATGAAAACTGGGTACGGAAGAAGTTGGTTTGTATAAAATTATATATCCCCAAGGACAACTGTTGGACTGATTGAGACTTGCTTTTAGTCAAAGGGTGAGATAGGTGAATTCTCCATGGAGGAAAGCCAAACGAAACTTGAACTCATCTGAGTTAAGTTCTTCCTGAGATGGGTTTGCTAAGTCACAGCTCACTACCAGAATAACTGGAGGTGGATAAATTATCCAGGGGGGTCAATTTACATGCTAGGTTTAAATCCCAGAAACCTTAATCATGGTGCAAAACCTTATTTGGGAGAAGTGTTAACTAACACATAGTAAAACTTCAGTACATCACAATTTAGGATTCAGAAGAAACTTCTCAGTTCTTGGCGCTAGCTTCTTAGGTATCAGAATAAGAGAGAGGATAGTAACCTAGAATCTTGGAATCCAGTATGTATTGGAAAATAGAGAATGCATTTGCACTGGATGAATGTTAATAGGCAGAGTTTTGGAGAGAGGAAGGAAGCATTGGGGAACAGTCCTCCAGTTCCTATTATGTATTTCTTTTAAGTTGTCCTTGGAAACCAGAAACACCAATATACTAAATTCTTCAGAGGTTCTGTATAAATGAAATGCAGGTTTCTGGTTTGTTTGCTAATCACACCCTTGTATGTTTGGCCAGCTGCTAATGCTTGCCACCTTTCCTTCTAGGATCATATTTTAAAATAATTTGCTGGAAATTTCAATTTACCGTATCTAGTTTATAAGTTATGCTTAGAAAATAGCTAACCTAGAGTTCCTTAAGTGTGCACCATCTTAATATAGTTGGATTGGCACCTCTTGTTTAGGTATATAAAGAAACAATTCACAGAATGAAAGAAAGGAATCTTTTATTAGTGTTGATTTACATGATATCCATAATTTTATTTGAACCCTTTTTCAGTTCCATTGGGGATCTTGTTGTGTTGGCATACAAATAATAAAAATATCAAGGATTGAACATTATTTTTGAACTACGTATAGCTTGTGCTGTTGTGATTCTACATAGCCTTAAAGTGAAGAAGTAGAAGTAATTAGTCCAGAAAAGCCATCTGTTTCACTGCTTTTTACCAGATGAAGTCAAGTAAAGTCCTGTTGCTGATTATCTAGAATTTTCTCCCAGGAAAACTATAATTTAAATAGCTAGACTCTTTTAGTCACAGGTTAAATTTAATAAGTATATATCAAAATATATTTTCTTTAGGCCATAGCCTGAATCCAAGGCTATAATAATTGCTTTTATTGTTTTTCTTGTTTCTAGTTTTAATTATTTCCCTTAGTAAAGTGATTTAATTATACACACACACACATAGGTGGGGGAATATATCCTTTAATCATTATAGCTGAGGATGCATAGTTTGGTATAATTTATTTCATTGTTAATGGAATGTTGTTTCTTTTAATACACCTTTTTATAATAGAAATTAAAAGTTTTTAGTGCACTTTCTTTCACTATTACTTCTTTTACTTCCCTTCCAGTTGTTTTTCTAAGTGTTTGCTTAGAGCAAGAGGCATTGGTATGCTTTATTTTCTGCAATAGTCCTTTGGCTCAGTGCAGTGACAGTTCACAGCAGAATTATACAGACTCCGTGTGATCTATTTTATTCTTTGGTGTATTATAACAAAGATGTCTGTGCATTTCTTAAGGGTAAGGATTGAAAAGAATGTCTTCATTTCTTTTTATTTCATCTACAGATGTGAACAGGAAGTGCTGGTGTTTCACAACCAAGGGAATGCATGCAGTGGGTCAGTCTGAGATAGTCATTCTTCTACAGTGTCTACCGGATGAAAAATGCTTGCCGAAGGATATCTTTAACCATTTTGTGCAGCTTTATCGGGATGCTCTGGCAGGTGGGGATACTTTCTGACTTAGTCTGCACCCTTTACAGATGATAAAAAATTTTGGACTCAGATGCAAAATAATAGTCTTAAATTTGGAAACCTGGCATTGGACTTTGGTAGTATTGGCAAGTTAGAACTTGGCATGGTTTTTGGAAGTTATAACTTTTAATACTTTATGTGAAACGTTGTTACTATTTTATAATGGCTAGAATCAGAGTTGTAAGATAATCCATTGACCATGATGTAAGAATATTTTCCTTTGAGTGGCCTAGGGGATATAGTATTGGTATCCGGTAGAAGGAAGCATAATGATAACTTACTACTTCAGTTAACAATATTTATATAATCATAATGTAAATATTCATTTAATTTTCAAGTTTCAAAAACCATTAGCATGGACAACTTTATTATGGTTTCAAAATAAATTGTAAATGTTGTTACCTGTAACAAAGTAAAAGTAAATGCATAGCTATTAGAAGTTGGAAAAGACTAAGGATACTAATATAAAGACATACTATTAAAAGCTGAGAGAGAATTAAGTGTATTATTTGACATTACAAAGTTAACCTTCTGCAGGTTTAATAGAGGAGGTAAGAAGCAGTGTAATTGAGCTAAGTGCTCATTTATCATGATAAAAAGTCAAAAAATAATATCTGTAGTTGATAAATAGGGAAAGTGTAGTATAAGAACTAAAGCAAGTGAATAATAAATGAGATTATCCCTGAGAAGCAAGACTGGGGTGGGGTGAGGGTAGCCAAGGTATTACAATTATTTTCATATGTTATTTGATAATGTTTTAATAAATATATTAAAATAATAAATTATTCATACTTTCTGAATGCAGGTAATTCCCCTTGTGGGATTCTATGCCAAAGAAATTATCTGAAATGTAAAATACACTTTGTACATGAAAGTGTTTATTATAGTATTACTTAAATTTAACACAAAAGTTTAGAGGCAACCTAAATGCCCAGCTATAGGAAAAAAGTTTAAGTGTGTTATATTTTTTAGATGAATGCATCTTTTTTAGAATATTTTTTAGCTATTAAAAGTAGTATTTTTATGGAAAATGCTCTTGAAATAAGTACAAAAGCATGATACAAAGTTTCATCTTTAATGTGGTTATGGCTTATGCATAAAAGATTATGCCTTTATGTCATAATTATGATATTTTAGGTGAAATATTACATGAAGGCAAGGTGCTATGTTAGAAATTGACCACATGATACCTGTGAAGTACAGTTCAGTATTTACTGTTCAGTATTTGTGTCAGTTCCAAAATGTATGGGGTTAATTTGAAGTCATCTGGAGCCTCTAGGCCTAAATTTCATTCCAGAAATTACTTGAAACATTCTTTTTTTCCCCCTCAGTTTGAATGTATTCAGATTGCATGTTTATATGGTTTTTGTTTTTTTTTTTTTTGAGATACGTGGGCCTCTCTCTGTTGTGGCCTCTCCCGTTGCAGAGCACAGGCTCCGGACGCACAGGCTCAGCGGCCATAGCTCACAGGCCCAGCCGCTTCGCGCAGGCAGTGAGGAGCCATTGAAAGAAATGAATGACATAACCAGATTTGCGTTTTAGAAAGATGACTCTAGAAGCAGTATGAAAATGGATCAAAGTCTGTGTGTCTGGTAGCAGGTAGAGCAGATAAGAAGCAATTACAGTGGATAAACAAACTTAAAGTGGATGAGCACTAGAATACGGCATAACAATGAAAGATAAACAAACTGCTGATACATGCAGTAACATGGATGAAGTTCACAGACAGTAATACTGAACAAAAGAAGCCAGACACAAAAAAGTACATATTATGTGGTTACATTTATGTGATTCTCTGGAATAGGCAAAATGAATCTGTGGTGATGGAAATTAGATCATTGTGTGTCTGGGGTGAGGTGTGGGTGCAAGCACTAGAATTGATTATAGACGGGCCCTGGGAACTCTCTGGGTTGATATAAGTGTTCTGTATAGTGGTTGGAATAGTGGTTACATGGGTGTTTACATTTTTCAAAACTCATTGAACTGTATAATTAAAATATGTAGGTATTATTCCGTGTAAATAATACCTCAATAAAATTGACTTAAAATTTTTATTGATATAATTGACACATACATTATATTAGTTTCAGGTGTACACTATAATGATTCGATATATGTATACATTGTGAAATGATCAATAAGTCTAGTTAACATCCATCATCACACATAGTTACAAATTTTTTTTCTTTGTGATGAAAACTTTTAAGGTCTACTCTCTTAGCAACTTTCAAATATATAGTACATTACTGTTAACTATAGCCACCATGCTGTACCTACAGCCTCAGTACTTATTTATCTTATTAACTGGAAGTTTGTACCTTTGGACTGCCTTCACGCATTTCACTTGCCCTTAAACCCTCACCTCTGGTAATCACCAGTCTGTTCCCTGTATCTATGAGTTCAGTGTATGTTTGTTTGCTTAGATTCTACATATAAGTGAGATCATACAGTATTTATCTTTCTCTAACTTATTTCACTTAGCATGATGCCCTCAAGGTATATATGTGTTGTGGAAAATGACAGGATTTCCTTCTTTTTAATGACAATAATATTCCATTGAATGTACATACCATGCTTTCTTTATCCATTCATCCATCAACACTTAAGTTACTTCCATGTCTTGGCTGTTAAAAATAATACTGCAGTGAACGTGGGGGTGTGGATATCTTTCCTAGTTAGTGTTTTCATTTCCTTCAGATAAATACCCAGAAGTGGAATTGAAGGATCATATGGTAGTTCTATTTTTAATTTTTTGAGAAACCTCCATACTGTTCCATAGTGGCTGCACCAATTTACATTCCCACAAACAGTATACTAGGGTTCCCTTTTCTCCATATCCTTGCCAACATTTGTTATTTTTAAATTGATTTTTAAAAAAGCTATTGTCAGGATCCAGTAAGAAATTAGGATATTACCAAAAATGGCAGTGGGAATAAAGAGTATTGAAGAGATATAAAAGAGTGATGCCTCAGTTCAATAAGATTTCATAACTAATTGGATGTGAGGAGTGAGAGGGGACAAGTCAAAGTTGGCTTTAGATTTCTGGCTTGAGCACCTGAGTGGACTTCGTTCTTATTCATTGAGGCAGTGAATAGAGGAAGAAGAGCAGATTTGGCAGAGGAGTGGGAGATGAGTTCTTCGTTCAGTGTGTTGGATTTCAAATAATGGCAACAGATGGTAATATGTAAATGAAAGATGAATACATAAATAGAGCCTTCAGGAGGTAGATCTGGGATAAAATACAGATGTGGAAGACCAGCATTTTTGTGATAGTTTTAAACTATGGCTCTGAATGGGATAGGCCAGTGTGAAGAGACTAGATCTATGAATGGAACTCCAAGAAATACCAACAAGGAAAGGATGTGAATCATTACATGAGTCATTAAAATATATGTTTACCATAAATGGTTACTCATCTTTTAAAAGTATCCTTATATATCAATAGAGTGCATTTTGAACTGGCATATTGAAATGCAAAAATACTACAACAAAAATCACTTGGAACTGATAGTAAGACTAAGTAAGACTAAGGTCAGACTGTAATACATCTAAGCTGTATTAAATATTATCTATGAGGTGAGGGCATATATGAACATATCTAAGTAAATAGTATTTTAAGTAATGAGTGAGCTGTAAGGCTCTCTGTCTCTCTCCTTGAAAAGGAATCATTTCACAGCTTACAAAATATTGGAGCTAGTAGGGAACTTACATTATCTAGTATAATGCTTCATTTTTCAGATGAAGAAAGTGAGATCTAGAAGTGTTAAATGGCTTGCTCAAATCACAGACCTAGTTGGTGACAGAATTAGGACTAAAGTAGTCTATGAATTATGTCAGTTGCCTATGTGTGATATTAATAGTATAGCAGTTTTTAAAAAACAGATATGGATAATACATATGTGCTATGCCTATTTTATTAAGAATCCCATGTGTAGATAATCAGGGTAGAAGCTTAGTATATTATTTCACTGTGATTTTTCTATGAACTTCCATGAACTCTATAATATTTTTACAGATTTTTAATCTAAACTACATGTATTAATAATAATATATGTGTATGTGTATATATATATATGTCTATGTATGTTTCTCATTTAGTATATATAAAATTTTTTTGTTACATGTCATTGCTTATGCTTTCCACAGTGAGGGGGAAAATGGTATTTTGTGAAAAATAACATTCTGAGAGTTTCAGGGTGCCTTCTGGATAATGTAGTGCCATGGGAGGTTCTAGATTGTATATTATTTCTCCCCTTCTCCCCTCCCTTACTCTGTGTTTTTTATTTTTTTAACATCTTTACTGGAGTATAATTGCTTTACAATGTTCTGTTAGTTTCTGCTGTATAACAAAGTGAATCAGCTATACCTATACATATATCCCCATATCCCCTCCCTCTTGTGCCTCCCTCCCACCCTCCCTATCCCACCCCTTTAGGTGATCACAAAACACTGAGCTGATCTCCCTGTGCAATGCAGCTGCTTCCTACTAGCTATCTATTTTACATCATTTAGTACTGTGTATATGTCCATGCCACTCTCTCACTTCATCCCAGCTTACGCTCTCCCCACCATCCCCTGTGTCCTGAAGTCCATTCTCTACGTCTGCATATTTATTCCAGTCCTGCCCCTGGGTTCATCAGAATCATTTTTTTTTAGATTCCATATATATGTGTTAGCATACAGTATTTGTTTTACTCTTTCTGACTTACTTCACTCTGTATGACAGACTCTAGTTCCATCCATCTCACTACAAATAACTCAATTTCGTTTCTTTTTATGGCTGAGTAATATTCCATTGTATATATGTGCCACATGTTCTTTATGCATTCTTCTGTCGATGCCACTTAGGTTACTTCCATGTCCTGGCTATTGTGAATAGTGCTGCAATGAACATTGTGGTACATGTCTCTTTTTGAATTATGGTTTTCTCAGGGTATATGCCCAGTTGTGGGATTGCTGGGTCATATGGT